TTGCATCGCATTATCGATTGAATAAAGGAGCCATATAAATTTTATATTTTATTTTTATTTTTAAATAATCTTAATTTTTCTTTATTTTCTTGCAAATTATAGCGAGAAGACTGTTAGTCTACAAAGATCTTATTAATTAAAATTTAGAATAGCTTTAATATTTTAAATTTAAATAAATATAAAAAAGGTGATATCCAAAATCTCGATATACAATATATGAATGAAAGAATCTAATATTGTTCTTGTGTAATTTTTCATATCTGATATTTTTGCGCGATAATAATTTAACGATAAATAACACGAATTAATAAATAATTTCAGATTCGAGATCGACACTTGTAGATCATGTTTGTTTTGTAACAACGGATGACCGATGTTTTGGGATCATGTTTGATGCATAGAACGTGGTGACCGAGAGAGATTTAGCTTTCTAGAAAAGGGCGATTTCTCCGTAGGAATAACAAAACGACCTTGTGCGAGATCTTGGCGAAGTCTTCAGAGGCATATTGTAACTGTATAAAAAATCCGGTGCCACGTTTTAGATCGACGCCACCGCACGTTAAGATGAAATGCTACCTTATCAGGAACTGCACTCGCTTCCTATCCACCGGACAGCATATGCCGAAGGTATGCATTGTCGGTTCGGGTCCGGCAGGTTTTTATGCGGCCCAGCAATTACTGAAGGTAATAGCAATAGATTAATTATAACTAATAGCAATATATACATATATAGCATTATATATATATATAAATTGTTAAAAAAATAAATTTATTAAAGTAATTTGAATATATATCCCACGAAAAATAAAATTACATGAAATATTTGTATCAAATTGTGATTAATAGAGTTCAGGTGATGTGAGAGTCGATATATTGGAGAAACTACCTGTTCCCTTCGGTTTGGTGCGCTTCGGTGTTGCTCCGGATCACCCTGAAGTGAAAAATGTTATCAATACGTTCCATAAAACCGCGACCAATCCACGTGTTCAGTTTCTAGGCAATGTTAATGTCGGCACGGATATTACCGTCGATCAGTTATGTGACTTTTATCATGCTGTATTACTGGTACGTATCTAGTATTTTATACCATATTTGTTAATTATGTAATAAAAAGTTAGCATAATATTTTTGTTTAATTAATAATTGTTTTTCTTTATTTTTATCCTAGACTTACGGCGCTCAAGAAGACCGATTGCTCAATATACCGGGTGAATACTTAAACAATGTAATATCAGGTCGACGTTTCGTTGGTTGGTACAATGGAGTACCAGCTGACAAGGACTTGAACATTAATCTAGACGTGGAAGAAGTGGTTGTTCTAGGTCAAGGCAATGTAGCTATAGATATCACGAGAATTCTTTTGACACCTATCGACAAGCTCAAGGTAACTCTCGATTTTTAACTAATGTTTTATTAAATTAGGAATTTTATGAATATTTACGATTCATAATAATATGAAAAAAAGATTCTTAGATTGAATTATATATTTTAAAATAAAATCTTCACTTAATTTTATCAATTGCGTGATGAAAGTAACTTTTAATTTAAAATGTTAAGCTATCTCCGATCTCTTTCAATTATTTCAGAACACCGACATTACATCGTTCGCCCTGGAACGTTTATCTCGTAGTAGAGTGCGAAAAGTCTCCATGGTTGGACGAAGAGGGCCTTTGCAAGCCGCATTCACAATCGCGGAACTGCGCGAGCTCCTTAAGTTGGAGAACTGCCAGAAACTCTGGCGACCGCAAGACTTCACGGGCGTACGAGATATTGTGCCGACCTTAGCCAGACCGCGAAAACGACTGACGGAACTCATGTTGAAATCTTTAGAAGAATCCGTGAGCGGCTCCACGCATGCTAAAGAGCTAAATCCGATCTTTCTGCGAAGTCCCGTCGAATTCCATGGCGGCGATGAACTGCGAAGTGTCAGATTCGCAGTGAGTCGTCTGCGAGGAGATACGATTCAAGATCAGGTGGCCGAGGCAACCGACGAATTCGAGACGATCCCGTGTGGTTTGACTCTGCGTAGCATCGGTTACAAATCCGCTCAAATAGATAGTTCGATTCCGTTTGACGCGAGGAAGGGACGTGTGGTGAATAAGGGCGGTAAGGTCGACGGCAATCTCTACAGCGCTGGATGGGCAGCCACCGGACCGGTCGGCGTTATCTTATCGACTATGACGAACGCTTTCCAAGTCGGCAATCTGATGTGCAAAGAACTGACATCCTCGACTGAGAATAAAGCGGGTTCAAACGGTGTGCGCGATATCTTGAATGCCAAGAGCATCCAGATAGTATCTTATGGAGACTGGCAAAAGATCGACCGCGTTGAACAAGAGCGTGGTAAACAGCTGGGAAAGACGCGGGAGAAGATTGTCGATGTGGCGGAGATGCTCGATATAGCTGCAAAATGAGCAATCTAAAAAATATTTAAAGGATGTTTGAAAAATTAGGTACGAAAAACTTGTTTTTTATTGTATGTAGGTAATTACAAAAAAAAGGCGAAAATTACACAAATTATTAGGTATGAAAAGTATGTTTTTCATACCTATAGGTTGTCCAAAAGATTAAGACATTTCTTTTTTATCGAACATTGAAAATGTGTTAAGATATTTCTTTTATATGCCTAATCTTCGTGTTCATATTTTGGAAGAATCGATATAATAAAAATTATGTAGGCCTAATTGCACATTTGATATTGTGAAGGATATAATTGATTTAACCTGCTTTTTTAAAAACTCGAGAAAATCAATTTCAATTAATTTAACTTGAAACTACCTTTCTTTAATAAACTTGTTAAAATTTTGCTGAATTTTCCAATTTCTGTGTTGCAGAATGTTATGAATTATTTACAGTGTAACATCGAAATATATACATGTTTCCTTTTTATATGTACTTTATGATGGAATATAGAGAAATAATTATATTTAACCAAAGAGAGAGACAAATTACAGATTATATTTTATATTAAGATTACGCTTTTATCATTGTTATTATTGTAAATTATTGTGACGGGTTGAAAAATAGATGTGGTAAATGGATTGAAAACAAATTCTATCAATTGAGATACAATTAAATACTGACGTATGTGTGTTGTGTATGTGTACTACCTAACCTGATCTGACGACCGAAGATACAATCATGAGATCATTAGCTGTCATTTGAAACGATATACATCTTTTAATAACTGATAATAAATAATATAAACATAAATTTTTATATAGAGAAACATTTTCTTCATGTATATTGTGTTGTGTTTAAAAAAATATAATTCTATATTTGTGATAGAGGAAATTCTGGGTACAAAGAAGCCGTGATAATACCTATTTTTATAGGTTAGGTATTTTGTCGCATATGTATTTAAGATTATAATTAATTGTGTGTGTTTAACGCTAGAATTATGTATATTTTATAATTTTCTGGTTTTTTTTTGTAGGCGCATACAAATTAATTTTTTTATTAGTATCTTGTTAGCATTTTATATTTATATTTTATATGTAAATTATATATGCAACATATATATTTTAATGCTAACAAAAGTTATCTAATTTTAGTGTAGTTTAGATTATTTGAAATCTCTTTAATCAGATGTAACAAATATATACCATAAAATTTTATATTCTTATTTATACAGCTAAAACATGAATTTGCGAGAACCAAGAAAGAAAAAACGAATAAAGTTGAAACCACAGTTTCCGTTTCCTATTCCATTGGATGAAACACAAGAATGGCCAGTGTACACAGCACATCTCACAGATATGGGGTCATGCATAATTGAACCTGAAGAGATCAATGCAGTGCATTCTATGGTAAGGACAAATTTTAAAATTACTTTTTGATATGAATGGCAATGAAGAATAAATATTTCTATCTGCAGGGATTTTTTGGTAAAGGATCATTGTCACGCAGTTATCCATCCTTTGGTAAAGCGAGATACGGAACACCGCCAGTTGTTCGGAACAGACAGTGGCTTCGTAGGCAAAATTGGCTAAAAGAAGTCAAGGAGTTGAACTCTGCCTCTTCCAACTATGAAGGTGCGAATAGACAATTTCATAATATGTAAAATACACTTCATTGTAAATTAATATAATAAAAAAATCATTCTTAAATAAAAAATATAAAGTGAAATGAAAATAATGATATATTATAAAATTGCAGTGAAAATCTGTGATATCGCAGATGTTAAAATAAGTGCCAAATGCGAAGAGGAAAATGTCTCGGATAACAAGGAAGAGAATATCGGAGATATCATCGAGATTCCACTGAATTGCAATGAGAATAAAAATAAACAAAGAAACGAAAACGAAGTCATAAATGATATAGAAATTGACGAAGTTGTTCTAGACTCTGCAGAGGAAGACGACGTATGTGTCATTATTAATAATCAAAAGTTTGACAATAACAAAAGTTCACCAAAACCTAACGATGATAAGAACTGCTCAGAAGAGAAGAAAGAGGAGGAAGAACTTTGTGAATTAAACTATTACGATTTCAAAAACGATTGCGCGAATGAGGATGATAATCAGCATGGAAAGCTGTTGGTTTTGCCAGACAGTGACTCGGATACTGAGAACTATTTGAAAGATATTAAGCCAAGAATCGAGAGCGAAGGTTTCCCCATTCGAGAGGCTCTGCGTCTAACATTTGAGGAAACCTTTTTTCTTCTCTTTGGATTAGGTTGCCTTCAAGTGGTTCACTTTGACGGCAGTCTGTTGGACATTAATAACGCATGGTTGTACTTTTGCAAGGAGAAACCAGATTTCTTACAGAAATATGTGGTTTATCATTATTACAGGAGCAAAGGATGGGTTGTCAAGCCCGGCCTGAAATATGGCGGCGATTTTTGTTAGTATTTGTTGTTTGAATATTTATTCTTTGAAAATATCTTGTTGAATATTTTATTCTTCCCATGCTTAAGAATATCATATACTTATAATGTTATTTTGTTGATTTTTTAGTTTTTTCTTGTAAAAACTTTAATTACTTTTATATTATTAGAAAAGTAGTAATTTTTTACATTTAACATTCTCTAATCTTTAAAATATAAAAACAGGAGTCGAACGAATGTTAAATGATCGTTATTGCTAAGAATCACTCTAAGAATTAATTAATTCTTATATACATTAATTATTATTTCATTGATTATTATAATTAGAATAAAAAGGTTTGCTATTATTTATCAAATATAATTCTTCGCGAGGGATGTGACCTCGACGAAAGATCGGATGAACACCCTGTATATATCTTAGTTGTAAAGCTGAACGAGATTCAAGTGAAAGTGTATAACTGTTTGCATCGTCTATATGTTCCCTACGGCATCCTTACCTGTACCGGCTTCTGCTTGTATAATTGGGATATCGCTTATATTATTGCATTACGTTACGTACTCGGTACATAGAGTATGCTAAAAAAACGAGAGTCACTACAACGAAAGTATATCTCGATTAGCATATCTCGGAATAAATTTCCTTTATATTTGATATACAAGACAATTTAATTCGAGACTACACCATCTCTTTCGTTCACAAATTTCTCTACATTAAACATTTTTATTATCAAGTCTTAAACTAAATCTCTGTTAAAGAAATTTAAGTGAAAGAGCTTTCTCTTGCGTGTCCACAAAAAAATGCTTAAAAATCGATTTATCTAAATTATATTATCATTTAGCCAAAATTTCCAAATTCGATCTACGTCTCAATATGATGATTTCTGATAATAATTTCTACAAATGATAAACAACGATGATATTATTTATTATTTATTATTAATCATTATAATTCTATCTATTATGAAAAATTTATAGGTCTTTTAAGCAACACATTCTTAGTTTTTTCTGGATATAGTTTAGATTATTTTCATATGATTTTTAATTTATTGAATTATGAACAAAAGTTTATAGAAAATTACACATATATGCATTACGATAATATAAAATTTAATAAATTACATAGAGAAAAATATTGTATATATATATAGAGTTGTTAATTATCATTGATAAATAATTTCTAAATATGACAAGCGATAATAAATTCTAATTTATAACTTGTTGATAAAATTTTAACATACTTCGATACATAGTTGTTCCCGACTTCGTTCTTTTAGCTCGCGCTTACTCGATCGCGACGGCGTTTCGGGGCCAGCGAGTAGAGTGATTGCTAAATGAGCATTCCTCTGAGAAACCCTAGGCTTGCTTTCTAAGCGAGGTCCCCGGTCACGTGCCACAGGACCCCCGGTTTGCGCGGATAATTCTGATCTGACACGTGCAACCGCTTGTCCGCTCGTGATTTTATATCCACGCGTGACCAGTACATATCTACCTACGTACATACATACGTGCGAAAGCACGTTCACTGCTCTCGTTTCGCTCGCACTTCGATACACTTTTGCCGCAACCTCGATTTAACGTAACCGTGATAATGTACCGTGTGATTAGCGCGAAGGGCGTAATTATAGAATAGAACGGAGATAATTACGCAGTTTCGTTAACCCTGAACGTAGTGCGGAATTTTGCTTTTATTTACAATTAATAAATTTACTAATTAATTACAATCGATACTCTTGTTATATTTAAAAGCGATAGCTCTTATCATTGATCAAAAACACATTGCAATATATTCTTTTTTTTTTAAACTAATATAATAATACTTCTTGCTGCCTACATACTTTTTTTATTTTTATTTTTCTTCCTTTCATATATGTATTATTATAATCTATGATTTTATTTTATTATAAATTGTAAATGTTTATATAATAATCTATATGAATTCAGATCGCATTCTATAATTTTATATATATAATTTATTATATATTAAATTTTAAGAGAGAGAGAAAGAAAACTGATATAATTTCTAATTGTAGATCTATAAAAAGCTTTGGCTTAAAGAAGATTCAATAATAATTTATGATTTTAAATCTTATTTCACATGCTCTAACTATAATTATATTATAATTAATTACGATTAAATAATAGCTAACTTATAATTTTACAGTTAATATCGCTGAATTTTCACAACGTTCTTTCATTTCAAAAATGAAACTTAGACGGTTACGGTAAGTGTGATTAAGTAGATTGCGGCAAGTGCATTTCCCCAGCGCGATGATCTCGCAGGAACCGGAGCGTGCAAGTGCATTTATATGCGCGTACGTTGTGTTACGTATCCACTTACGCTGGATGGAAAGTAAAATAAATTCGCGTAGAATTTACACGCGCTTCCGTGTGAAATCGCAAGCTTCCGCTTCCGACCTGCCGACTTTTGTCTTATGGTATCGTGTCGCGGATCCGCTTTAGATATGCGGGGTAAGAAGAAAAATGGAATCTGGGTCGATCGGTTGCGCACGCTGCGCGATCAGGAAGCAATCGAGAAATAACGCTCTGCTTGCCATAAATTGCAGGGAAATTTACACACCCTGTCCAAGTTGCTAAACCGCAACTTTGCGGTATTACCTGATATGTACATATATATTTCAATCGTTTTTTTCTCTTTTTATGGGGAATAAAATTCCTTTTTTATAGGATATCCTGCTCTAATGAATCGTTTTATGGATGCAAATATAGATAAGAAAACATTGCTCAATTGACTTTAAAAAAATTTTATTTTTATGAAACTTTATGTAATATATTGATGATCTTAAAATTCTAATGAATTTAGATCATACTTTTGTTAAGGAAAGATTAACTGCTGATTTTTACCGAGAAATTTAATATAATCTTAAGCAGTAATATATGTAAGAAAGAGCTTGTGTGTATGTGAAGTTATTTTTATAATTATTTTACTTCTGGAAATATCTTTGTACATACAAAAATATGAAGTTAATATTTTGTATATTTTTATAAAACTTGAGAATCTTGCAAAACGTGTGAATTTAACAAAATCATGATTAGAAATAGAAATATTATATATTTTAATATTTTACTACATTATTTTATTAAAAAAAGATTATTTGTACTATCTATTATTTAACATTTATTTCACAAAAAAAAATAATATACATTTTATATCATATATATATTTTTATTTATGAAACGCACATCAACTCTCCAAATTGATTAAAAAATATATCTATTTTGCTGCAGAATTCTTATACCTCGATACACAAATATATAAGCCGTGAAGATAAAGACTCGCGACACTCCTTCCGTTGTGATAAACGACAAACAAATAACCGAAACCAGAGGCATAAAATCGCGCTTCAAGGATTTGCATGCGTTTAAGAACTTTGTCATCCGCATAAATAAACTCGTCCCCATTTTGCGAGTCCGATATGCACACGAGGGAGTCGATATAAAACCAGCTTAGCCGCTGGAGCTTCGCGTTCTCTTTCTCGCGAGCGATTCTTACAGGTTTCGCAAGCGCGGTAATCTAATGACGGAATCCAATTCGACGCGGTTTTGCGGTAAGCTCGGCAATTTTCCAAAGCAAATATCGAGAAAGTAAATAGACTTTAAAGGCAAGAAGGTATTAAAACTTGCAATATGGCTCATTAGCGAATTTTAATGTCTCCTTACTTTGAGTGATGAAGTCAGAATTTTATATTTATTTAATATAACAATATAATCTGCTGGCATTTAATATAATTATTTTTAATATAAAAGTGACACATCTTTAATTTTTTTGAAACCATGTTAAACAATTATTCTTTAATAATTCGTCACTTTTATCAACTATAAATAATATGATCAATATCTTGCTGCAACTCAAAGAATATTTATCAAGCTTCGAGGCATAAAGAGAGTTGATCGAGAAAATAATAGGAGGCGGATTGTGAGAAATAAATTAACAGGCGATGAATTAGCAGCCGCAGAGACAGGTCATAGATCTTCGAGAGGAGGGCCCCGGATTCCTTTATCTCGCAGCTGGAATCAGTTGGAAGGTCGCGCGATGCGGGATGTCCAATTAAAAATAATCCCGTCCTCGGGAGAAAGGCGAAAAGTCGCTACAGTAAAACCAACGAAACATCACGAACGACCGTGATCTCCTGCCAGGAAAGCGAAGAAGCTAGGGTCAATGTTCACGACTCTAAGAGTATACAATGTGAAACCTTGTCTTTTATTTAATTTTAATTGTACTCCAAGGGAATGAGAATCTTACGCTTCAATTGTCGACGATTTATCGCGATGAATATGTATCCCGAAGAAGAGGAAAATTCGCGAAGCGATCGCGGCTGGATATAGCGAAGAAATGTTACGTGACAAAGAAGCTTGGCCATAGTTCGAGGGAATATAACGGGTAGATTAATATCGGCAGCGCTTTTGTTCTTGGGAAAAAATGACATCTCGCATAAAATGCGAGTTGACCTTTTCCATCTGCTAGAAAAGAGGATGATAAAGTCATACGCTGCTGGGAAAGTGCTTTCCCGAGAATTCTCAGAGTTCGCTTAACCGCTAGATTGTGATTAGGCTTGCCTAGGATTGCCTCAGGAGACGCGTGCATAAGTAGATTGTGCCTAGCTTGCGTCAGACGTACGTAAATTTGCGTCGAAATTACTGTCCATTTTGCGAAATTAATCACCGTAGGAATGTCCTCACCAGAGATACGCATTGAGATGTCCAACAATAAGACGCAAATTTTTTTATCACTTTTTACTTTATTTAAATTATGATCTTAATTATTACAAACACAAGTGTAGATATTTTCACACTTTTTTAAACGGTAATTCGGTTTATTTTATTTTATTATTTTTAAAGCAATGTAACAAATAATCCCAATTACTGGCTGAAAAATTATTATCGTGATCATTCATGAACTCATAAAGTTCATGGCCACTACGCCGATTTAAATATGCGCATGTAATCTCACGTGATGTTCAAGAATACATTAATCGTTTGAAGACACGAATATGTTAATGTTTTTCAACATTGTTGCTTATGCTAAGTATCGTCGTACGATTTTTTCTGCGTTTTTTTTTTTGGAATCCGGAACACCTTCTCATACCGCTTTTATCGTTCAATGACACCACACGGTGGTGTTCCCAAAAAGGGAGAAATGATTGAATGAATACTGATTAGCATATGTCGTCGTTTGAATGAGAAACGAAGAGAGTCGTTTGAAAGCGAAGCGAACATCTTATATACTATGACAAATCGACAAAAGTGATATATCGACGACGAAAAGTTTCCACTCCGAAGAACTCTCTTTCGATTTTGAAATGTATGACATTGCACAAACAGGGCTACAATAATAAATAAAATAACATAAAATCCGTCTCATTTTTTATTATATATATATTAATTCTCTTTAATTTATACTTATATATAAAATTATTTATATACTTATATATAAGATCTTATTATTTTTTTATTCAACTATTTATTGAAAAAAGATATATCAATTTATATCGATTATTTATCGGAAAAATGTCAGTCATTTATTAAAAAATGTATCGATTATTTCTAAAAAATATCGATTATATATGAAAGAAAAGATTAAGCAAATAAATTTGCTTCATTTTTGATTAAAGTCTAAAATAAATTAAAGAGGAATCAGAGCGAATCGAAGGATGGAGAGAAACGAAACTGCATCGATTAAAGTTTCACACAGGGAAACGTAATGTCAAACTGAAAATGAAACCGTAGAGATGCGTAGGCAGTTGATCTTTGGGATACAGTTGATGGTCGATGGTCTCAGGGGTCTCTGACCATGATCTTGGGAGATCGAGCGAGAATACCGTTCTCACCGTTGATGACCGGTTTTTAGCATATCTCTCTCGAGACAGACTATCGGCCTCGATCATTACTCTTGACCACGAAATTTACTCTCACGGACATAATAAATTAGTCGGTCTTGGTTGACTCGGCAGTTGATTTTTGCTAAAACGGAAACCGCGATGACCACTTTTACGACGCATAAAACGCATCTCTACCTTCTGATTGCGAACATTCTTAATTCACTTGCTTTAAGTCTGTTTCATACTTTAAGCAATTTATCATTTATATTTAATTAATAATCTCTTAACAAATTCAATAAAATAAATTAAAATGTTGTGAAATATCAGATAATCGTACGCTGTGCAAAATAAGAGTAAAAAGTTTGATTTATTCCAGGGAAAGAATTCACTGGAACGATTAAGCGAGATCTATACGCGTTGCAGCATAGCAATTTTTTCAGATCATTACATTCTGCGCACGTACTTGCACGTATATGCGTGATAAATATATGTGCGTATATGATAGTAGTAGAATAGAGCCAGAGAGAGAGAGAATAGGGCCACTCCTTTTTTACCTTCGTACACGATTTGAGAAATGACTTATCATTATTATCTTGTACACCTTGAATTTTTGCCCTGATTATTTTTGACCGCTTCATCTTGGCCTTTGTTATTTTCATTTGTAGTTGAAAAAAAAATTTGCAACAAAATTTTTCCATTAATATTATTATTGATAGACATGCAGAGAAATATAGAATTATGCTGTTAACTATTTCTTATCCTTGCTAATAACAATATTAACATTATTATTAATTAGTTTTATTAGTCAAACAAAATTCAATATTAATTATTTAATTTAATTTAATATTATTTTCAACTTTCTTTTGGAGACATATAATTTTTATTGCTTTATATATTATTATTAGTATTATTTCTACTTATCTTTTCCAAGGAAAAAAGAGATTCTTACATATTTATTATTATTTATTATTTATTATTTATTTTACGCGCAATATGTACAAATATTGATACGGGGGTGGCCACGATGAATTAATAACCGATTAATCTTGTAATGAGAAATCGGTTCGCCGATCGACAAATTGTGCAATAATCCGCGAACTCTTATCCATATTTTCCACGGTATAATGAATCGCGTATCCTATCATTAGAAGTACCTCGCGATAGAAGAGTCGTGTGTTCGTGCTCTTTTCAGTTACAGCTCGCGCAGTCATTATTACAGCTCACCGCGAGATCAGCCGCGGTAGATCGATCGTGAGAAGAGAATACGGGTGAAAGGAGCGGATTCCGCGATGCTGCGTATTGCTTATCTCGATATTCCGATTTCTCGATTGCGATTCTGCATCCCTGGGAAAAAAAAAATTTGAGTTATATTAAAAGAAGCTTTACTCTTGAATTTCGATGCGTCAAGTCGAATTGTTATTATAATAATAAGATAACGTCTCATATCTTCACACGTACGAACAGCGAAAGCAAACTTGTACGCGTGGACTTTTTTATATGTATAGAAAATATATATTAATTATAAATAAATAATTAAGAATTTTTTTACGAATAAAAATATGTATAAATTATAAACAAAATCAGAATTCAAGAAATTTCTGACGAATTGAGCCTCAGTAGAGGAAATCAATGATAGAATCATGTTCTTCAATTAATTTCGAGTTTCACTTTAATAGGATTTTAATTCGAAGTTTAATTACAGAAAGATATGAAAAACAAGCAAGATTTTTAATTTCGGTAAAATTAAAAAATTAAAATTTGTTCTATCAAGTTTACGAGGAAGCTGCGATTAAAGGAAAGTTCCGGACACCCTGTATAGCGATTGGCAGTAGTAAAGACACGCATTGTAACGGCACGCGACGCACTCCTGGGAATACTAGAGAAACTCGCTGCGCGTTTGGGATACCGATCCGATCTGCAATTACAGATTCCAGTCGTATCTTTGCTCCTTCTCTCTTTCTCTGTCCTTCTCTTTCTCTGAAGGCGGCTTTTTCTATTGTTTCGGGCTAAGCGATTACGGACACCCACCCACTCGATTACGCAACGATTTCAGCTCTACGCGCCGTGATTGTGTTAACGTTGTCTCGTTGCGTTTGCCTCACACGGGATGCTTCCCGAGCGAGCTTATGCCTCACAATGTTCATGCTCAGGCAGATAGCGATCGAGAGAATGAAATTTTTACTTGCGACACTTGATTGCTTCACGCAAATCGCGAAACCGAATCGCTCTTCTTATTCTTCTGGCTTGCCGGCATTGCATTGCAGTGAATCAGAATTGATTGACAATGTCAATGCTTTACATGATAATAAAATCCTCCTCTCTTTTATCAAAGAATTGGCACCGTCAAAAGAATAAAACAATTAATTAATCGATGCCAGCTACTAATTCTATTTTATAATCTATGCACTCGTATATTTTTAAAAATTTTTAAATTTATTTTTTAAAAAGCTTAATTCTTTTCTTTAGATTCTGTTAATTAAAGTTATTTAATGTCTGTCTGTGAGAAATTATTAAGAATGATTTATGACGCTTATGCATCGAGTCGATGTAAGAACATTCAAGGACATTCGGAATAAAATTAACATTTTACTCGTAGAAAACATGTACTTTCTAGGCGATTATGCTATTATATGGCTATTGCTATTAATATTGGATATCATAAAACATCCGGATTCGTGTAAAACTGTAAAACGTACGAGCGGCGACGATGTTTCTATCCATTGGAATATTTGTTTCATAGAGTAACTCTGAATCCGAGGACATTCTCTCACGTAGGAGATAGATAATAATAGGAGACGGATAATTAGCAATTCTCGTCAGAAGACAAACGCGAGATAGTAGACAAGACGTTTTTAATGAAGCAGAATATTTTTTTACATAATTGTTAATTGTCAGAGAAGAAGGGAAGTAACGGTGCTTCGTAAAATAATACAGTAATCTGTCATATTCGCGCGGTTGATGCAACACGCGATTTTTACCCATTCGAGCAAATAGCTACAAGTGCTTGATTGCACGTGCAATTGCAATAATTGCGTAAACATTTGAGAATCGTCGCACGATTCTCCCACGATCGTAGAAAAAAATTACTCCATACTGTGTGACAAATACAACAATTTCATAAGCCAAATTATCATACGGACTGCTATATAATGTAGCAAAATATTTTTGCACTGTTTCTTCTTTTATTTTTATATTTTTTCTTTTTTATTATATCTTTCCTTATTTATTAATTTGTTGCGTTAAAAATTATAAATACCGCTAAAATTATAAATAATATCATATTTTTATAAAGTGAAAAAGTGAAATCGAGCAATGGCTATCGTGTATGTAAATTAAATTCGACATTATATACGGGATAATATACATACTACGAGATAATTTTTATATGTTTTTTATCTTATACTTTCAGATTCCGAGATTCCGTATGATGAGATCAGATTGAGCGCAATGACATCGAGATACTTCGTGTTTGCCGCAGCTTTAGCGTACGGTGAGTTAGGTGATTCATTGCTAATGAATGCAGAATTTTAGATAAGAAGTACTTCTTCGTATTAAAATTCTTTTTGCTCAGGAATCTTTCATCAACCACGTCGCAAACAAATATTGTCGTTGAAAAAAGATATATAACATTTTTTACCAATTTTTAATTAAGTTATTATTAATTATTATTAATACATATATATTACGAGCATAAAATTACTTTGATCTCTTGAGAAAATTAACTGATTCTTTTGCATTATATTTTTCTCTCTATAACTTTATATTACTTTATAATATATTTTATACCTGCGATTGTGTGTATAATAATTTATATATATATAAATGTAAAGGAGTAAAGCAAAGGATTTTGTGAAATGATTATGCAGTTGCAGTGTCTGCTGCACAAGTTTACAAGAGCTATTCGTTGGACTCATCTGCAACATCCGAACCAGCAGCTACGAATAATGATTTCACCACGCAAACGGTCTACGGATTTCTGGACTTCACCACGACACTCGGCAACACGGTGATGGTCTTCAGCCCTCAAAGCGCTCCACCAGGTAAGAATTTTTCAAGAGTTTCAAAATTTTATTTATTATTTATACACACGTATGATGTGTGTATGTGTATCACATCTAAATAATTATACCAGTTTCCTAAAATACATTAATATTATTTTAATAATAAATAATAAAATTGTAAATTAAATCTTAATTTAAAAGTTTATCGCTGTCATAATCACCAATAAAATTTTATAGACTGTCAAATTTTGCTTTCCTTCAAGCGCGATTAATTAGTAAATAAATTATTATTTGCAAACATAATTTAATTCTTAACCCATAATTATATTCGATATAAGATGTTCGTCTTATTCGGCTGTCAATCATCGTTCAGTAAAGAGCTTCATTGAAGTTTTTAAGCAGTGAGAATTAAATATCGCGGAAAGCTGTTACGCAAACAGGAGATTCGCTACAAACATAGTTTAATTCTAAATGATTTTAGCCATGAAGTGTCATGTGAATTTGAGAATAATGCCAGGAATTACTTTCTAAGCGCAATCGACATCTTTTTGTTATTCTGTGCTTATTCATGGCACGTCTGATTATTCAATGGGACCTTGAAACGCTGAAGAGTCCGTACACTCGCAAGACGGACCTTGGCGAGGCATCGGGGTCCAATCTCTTTTGCATATCGTCATTTGCGTCTGCGTACGGATGATGCCCATTGTTCACTCGTTATGATTCTCCTGTCATCTCCTCTCCTTGACTTTTCAAACTATAATACTCAGTGCGCTTCCTTTTTTTCTAAATGCAAAGATATAAACTTTGAAGATGCTATAAATGAAATAATTATGACAACAATCTGTCATATCAGCCGAAAATTAATCAAAGTTTTATTCTATTGATATCAAAATTAAAATCAAATAAAATAATATGATGCCAACACATAATATAATTAAATTTACATTAAATTTATGTAATTGAAATTTAAGTCTCATGAAAACACAATTAAAATTGAATCGAGAAAATATGTGTTTCCATATGTTCTTTATCTTTTCATTCTAAAGAATATAAAATTTGGCGAAGAATGTTGACTGTCAAGGACCGCTTTTTCACTCCCATTTTTCTGATCCTCGAGGTTCCTCGCGGAATCGCAATTTTTATTCTTAACAGTCGTCGAGTATGCAAATACGCCGTTTGTTTTCAGAAGGGGACTCCGGTAAGAAGACTGCGTCTTCCAAGCCACCGATTCACACGAAGCCGGCGGAACTGCAGCAGCAAAAGAAGAATGTCCCCGACATTCAGCCCAGCAAGACTCACAAGGTCGAAACCCAGGATGGTGAGACGAAGAAACAGATAAAGGGAACGAAAATTGTTGTAAATTCCGTGGTCGAGCAGAACGTGGTAAACCCGTCCGAGAATACTGCATCGAAGACGACAAAGAGTCAGGTAAATTGGAATGAAGTTGATTCTTTAAATATTTCTAAGTCTAATTATGTGTATAGGAAATATTTTTCAAATAATTTTAACATGTAATATATAATATAATTAGAAACATCTTTGGATATTTTAATAAATTATTATATCAAATTATTTATTATATATTTAATATTCAATTTTTGAAAATTGAATGATTATACTAATAGAATAAATTTATTTTCTTTTCAATAATGAAATAATGTAACATGCAAAATTAGTGATTAACAAAATAAGATGTATCTATATATGTAACGTAATAAAGTTACATGAATTGAGGTATAATTTGGAAACGTGAATAGAGAGTGAATATTTAGAGAAATTCTTTCAGGAGCCAAATAAACAAGCAACAACAAAGACACCAGTATTGTCATCCGTCGTTCAGGTACGTGCCAAGGATGAAGCTCTAGGTGTGAAAAATAATCTCGCCGAACCGGAATACGATTTTCTCTCAAAACAGCCAACGGAAGTGATCGATGAGACTTACAGGGTAAGTAAAACATGATATCAAAGAAATAACTCTAATATTACAAAAGTGAATAAAGTAAATGCCATATCATTATCTTTACGCTCTAGAAACATGTTTCATGGTGCGTAATTTTATTATTTCCTTATTTATATTATTTTGTATTTTTTCACAGATCGTATTTCGTTACTTATATTTTATTTTTTTAATAGCTCTCTCTCTCTCTCTCTCTTTCTTGGTTTTTTTTATATCTTAAAACTAGATCAACCAATATCTCGTATCTGCTTTCTCTGTAGAGTAAGCGAAGAAAATGAAAAATTGTGATAATATTTGTATATATTATTTCAATTATAATATAATATTTCTATATAAAAGTATGTTATACTTCTTTCCGGATTATCAACAATATTTTGATATTTTAAAGACAGAGTGATGTTTTAAATACATTAGTTATTCTTCTATAAATTGACCAATAGACTCATCGGAGATTTTCGCTGTTTTTTTACTATAAATTCATAATTTAATTTTAAAAGAGCTAAGAAATGTAATTTTTTAATGTCAACGATTTAGTCATTCTTCTATAATTTGATCAATAGACTCATCGGAGATTTTCGCTGTTTCTTTACTATAAATTCATAGTTTAATTCTAAAAGAGCTAGTTAATGTCAACTTTTAATATTAACAAATTATGCGATAAAGTGTTTAATATTCTATATTTTATAATTGAATTATATATAAGATAAATTTATAAGAAGATAAACGTGCTTTTTTTACGAATTTTATAATATGTTTTATATAATTCTGTCCACAAGTTTATAGAAAACAGATTATTTGACTCGATTCGTCAAAAATATGATTTTACCTTTGTTGGAATTCAACCATGGAAACGATCTCGCGTTCGCGAAATTCGTGTTTCGCAAAAGCAGGAAACTCTAATATCCAGTTTATAAAAGCGACATTGATCTTCGCCCGTGAACGAGAGCCGCGAATACGAAAATCGAGAATCTGGTTTCGATATTTTTGATTGTCGCCAAACCGGACTGCATCGTTCACTAACATCGTTTCTAAAACGAGTTCAGCGGAATGTTGATCGTTTTAATCGAACACCCGATGGAAAATGGGTTATCCAGTCAAAGCGTGATGAAAAAACCATTGTGATATAAAATTATTCGTAATTTTTTCTATGAAATTGCGCAATTGCTTTATCTTATAAGCAACTTTCACAATAACTCTCGCGCAAAACCGCGAACGAAATTGTTCGGAATAATTGCGTCGGCGTAATTTTCCGCGTGCCGTAATCGATTTCCTAGCCGATCCTTTCCAGCTGCCTTTCCCCCCGTAAGTCCCTCAACGACGGCGATCGGCGTGAAAGTCCGATCTGATCGCACCGATAAATCGGTTTCACTCGCGAAGCGCGACGAACGCGCGTTCCTTTTCCAACTATAATTTTCAGCATTTACTGCGTCGAAAAAATTTCGAAGATTGGGAATTTTAAATTCGATGATCTAGATTTTTATATATATTTTTTTTTTTGGCAAAAAATACTGGAAATTGTCTTTAGCCACTAAGCTTTTTTTTTGATACTCTTTTATTTTCTCAGTCTTATCAAAAGCTTAAAGAATTATTGTTATTATTATATTATAATTATTTCCCACATATAATTATAATTTAAATGTTTTGCTATATTTATGATACCTTTTTCCTTTCTCTTTTTTAATATATTTTCTATACTATAGTAAAATTAAAAACAAAAAATGTATCTTTTTATCAAATATATAAAGATTATTATTTTTTACATAATTCATATCTTTATAGCTTATGCATATAATTATTATCCCAATATAATTTTCTCACGATGATACCATGTTTCTTCGATTACCTGGTTTCTTACAGCTGATCAACTTGCGACCCTCATCGAAGGCTCATCACAAGCCACGCGCCACCGCGCGAAGGGACAAGGAGAACCCGACCGGGCTGGTGACCAAACTCGGGGGCACCGTCGTGAAGGATGGTCTCACCACCGTGCACGAGACCAGCGTAATCGGCACCTACATCAACGGCAAGTACGCCCAGGTGCTACAGAGCTCGTCCAGGATCCTGACCGAGCCGATCGAACCGGTGATCGAAGACATGATTCGCCCGTCCAGCACGAATCGAATCCTGAAGACCATAAGTCCACATCACGGCAAGCTCAAGCCCCAGCTGGAGCCCACTCCGACCTACCAGCAGCAGGAGGAGTCCTCGCTGCCCTTAGAAGCTCTCTTTAACGCACCCTCCGGTGAGCACTTCGGCTGTGATAAATTAGTGAATTTTAAAAAATTTATTTATATTGAAAAATATATGAAAAATATTACCAGAAGCTTTAGTTGTCTTATTAATTTACGATACATAAAAGCTTTTTCGTGTGTATGAATTTTTTCTTTTCAATAATATCTGTGATAAAATTTTCTGATATTTCTGGAGAAATTATATATTCTCTGATATAGTACTGAAAGGGTTGTCTTGACAAACTTGATGATTTATGAATAGGCACCCCAGTACGAACAACGCGGAGGCACTCGACCTCCAACAATCAGCCCAGGCTCAAATTCCGAAACAAGATTGCCGATGACTACGAGAATAACGAACCGCAACAACAAACGAGGACAGGGAAAAATCGCGCGACGACGACACGTCCAAATTACAAGTGAGTGTCTCTGATAAGAGAGTAACAATCGGAAGAAAAGAATTTATTAATTTGTGACTTATCTTTTGTTATATCTTACGAAACAACCGTAAGCGACTATCATTATTATCTTATTATCGCGTAAAATATAAAGTGCGATAGATCTTCGCGTGATGCGATCCCTGGTTCAAATTTCACTAAGAAAGAAACTCTACACTTCTCTTTAGGAATCGTCCTGTAATCACTACCACCAGCACCACAGAAGCACCGATCAGTCGCCGTCGCAGCGGTTTTCGTCCGAACGGTCAGTCCACCAGCTTGCTCTCGAAGCAATCAATCAAATCGAAGAGCAGCGATCAGCAGCCATCACCAACGGCTAGTCTTCCGGTGCCCAAGGTGAAGCTACCGAGAACGCAAGGTCGCTGGTCATACAAGACCACGCCGAAGCCGAGGATCATGATCCGCAAGCAGGTGGACGAGGAGGATCCGCGATCATCGGCGACCGAGACGAGCACGACGGAGTCGTCTTTCGTGGTAATCTCGGACGAGCAGAGCAAGACGACGGCGACGACCAGCAATGCGGCCTCGACCTCATCCGGCGGCGTCATCCAGAGGAAGGAGTTGTCCTTCGCGGAGGATGAGTTGGATCCCAGCGAGAGCGAGGATGTGGCCACCGTCAGTGTGCAGCAGGAACAACAGCAGAACGTTGCGGACCAGATCCTTCCAGTGGAGACACTCAACGTAGAAATCTCCACTGCGGCGGATCTCGACAACGTGTATTTCGAGATCGCCACTATCAAGTCGCCGTACTCCTTCCAGGTGCGTTCTCTCGATTTTACTCGATTTTAGTATTTATCTATTTAAGCAAAAAATTTGATAAAATCTTATTTTTATAAACAAAGATGTTGGATATATGCCGAAGAACAATTATATTGTATGTAACAATAGAATTATTAGTTTTTAATTTATTAAATTTTCTGCTTGGCGTTAGCTATAGAATACATGAGCAAAGCAGCCGTGTTTCCTTATTGCCGTAATAATCAAAATATTGTCCATGCAGGTGGGAACAGCCCGGAACACCCGCTACATTACAGTGACTTCCACCATCAAGAAGACCTTTGCGACGGCCGAGCCGACTAGTTCTATCACACCCACCGAACCGCTCACGGAGAATATCCTGGCGAACACGGCAGCCGCCTACGAGTCGACTCTGCCGCTCGATTCGTCCGTTGCGACGCTACCGGCAATCTCCCTGGATGCCAGCCAGGCGACGCCGCCGTTAGAAACCCTGACAGAGACGTTCTCGACGACGCAAACGTTGCTGAAGACACACATGTTACCAGTAATTTATGGTGGCAATAGCACCACCCGTTTGACCCTGGTACAAACGTACAACATCGCCCGAGTGGTGACGGCGACAAAGACGCTTCCGCCGATGGAAATCTATCAGTTCATCCCAAGCAAAACGCTGAACGAGTTCAATTCGAAGCTCGACGAGGCTGGTAGCGAACTGCATCTCGAGCTTGACTTCGGCGACGACGATCGTGATGACGAGGATGTACTCAAGAGGGTGGTGGCGCCTAGCAACGATCCTAATTCCGATCTGGATATTTTCAAGTCCGCATTACCGTCCAAGGTCAAAAGCGACGTCGTAACCAGCAGCAGTGCCGAATCTCAGTTGACTCCGGAACAGGTGCAACAATTGGCTCTGCTAAAATATTTCGGTCAACCGCAACCCCAAGTCATCACCACATCTAGGCCAGTGGTCGTTTTGGAAACGATGTACGAATCGCACGTGATTCCCGTAGTAAGCGCGGGAAATACCATTTACTCGACGTTGTCCAGGCCAGTTGCTACTGTACCTAGGTTGGTATAATATATATTTTTAATAAATTATATGCGTTAATTAATTATACATATAATATATTGTATCATCTTACATATATTATATTTTGCGCGTTTCTGCTTTCTTCAGGACCTCCTACGAATACGGCACATCCACCCTGAGTCCGGTGCTGCAGCCGCAGGTGCCGCAAGTACCGCTATTCCCGCAGCAGCCACAATTCACGGTGACGAGCGCGCCCCTGGTCACTCAGACCCTTGCCACCGTGTCCGATTCACGGGTATTAAAGCTTACTTTCGGCGCTAAAACCGCGTATACCACCCTCTTCTCCACGAGGGTCGTACCCACGGAGCTCACTACCTACGTCACCAACACGGTGCCAGTGCAGCCGACGGTACCGGCATATCCCGGTTATTACCCAGCGCCGGTGCCCTATCCGCCTTTCCCCTTTCTCGGTTAGATTTTAATCTAATCGTCGAGCCTTTCGCGGTTCAATTGCTACCACCAAGTAGATTTGTTCCTTCGGACTAAATTTAAATTTTGGTAATCCTCTTTATATGAGTACTAGTTCTTATGATAAACGCTATGAACAATGCGATTATAAACACAAACAGTACGTATTTTATTTATTTAATGGCTTTCTGTAATGAGTTTGAGAAATTTTTCGATATTAATATGTTATTTCTCGCAAATTTATATGTGCATTGGTTGCCATATATATACACTTATTGTTGTATAAGTTAATATTGAAATAGTAATTAATCTTGAATAAATTTAAATTAGAAATCAGTTTTTGAGATAAACGTCATATATTTATAGATAAGAAAATACTAATTAAAATATTATTTTCTTTAAGAAATTTTAACGTACTTATTTGTGTTAAATTAAAGAATAACATCAATAATAATGCTGCAATTTCATAATATTTTTCAATAGAGCGATAGTTCTATAATTTCTCGTAATTATACAACTGCTGCGTAATAGCAGTTCAATACCGATTTGGGTCACTACAAGTAGAACATGAAAAAACGCAGCCGCGATTGCATGTCGGACAAAATAATTACAAGGTTGCACAATTTCGAATCATATAACGAACTGATCGACAATGATCCTAGTTGGACCGCATTGAAAATTATTGTAAATAAATTATTGACTATAATATTGTATATCGTATATTGTATGTATATCGCGTATTTTGTAAATAAATAAAACAAAAACGTAAAATCCCCCATCCTCTTTTATCGTATTGCAACAAATCTAAATCCTAAATACGAAACGTTGGTAATATGATGTCACACACATACACACATTCTCATACATCATATTTAGGAATAATATATATTTTAATTAATTGTAAGTGTAATATAACTTATTTAAAAATTCACGATTTTAATAATTCAATATACGAATCTATAAAATGAGATTACATTAAGATAATCATGGATTGAAAAATTTGAAATTTTCTCCAACGCAAAATAAAATACTAATTTTTATGCGTCACTGCTTATGTAAAATATTATAAATATTTCATGTTCACATTCGTATGTGATAATTATTGAAAATTACATTTTACATTTTATTTATTTGCTTCCTATATATTTAATTTTTTTTATTTTTATTTATTAATATAATACATTAGTGTGATAATTTTTTTACGTGGAATATCAAAAATAATATCTCCTTCTTGGCGAATTATTCGATTATTTATACTCGTTTCGAAATTATTAGAAATATAACAACTCAATTTTGGTTTATATATCCACTGTTTTCCATTATTTTAAAATATCCCTTTCAATGATGACTATTTTCTAAAAGTGAGTAATAAATTATAGATGTATATTTTGTAAATACAAAAGATGTATACAAAATTATAAAAAAAGAAGATTAAATGAATGATTATAGGTACAAAACGTGATATTCAAGCGAAATAGATGAAATTTTGTCGCAAATTAGTGACAATTAAAAAGTCCATAGTGACATGAATATTATATATGTGATGTTTATTTTAAGAAGACAAATTTTTAAATCAAAAAAAATTATTTTAAAAAAAACTAGAAAGAAATTTTTTCATCTTAAAAAATTGAAAGCTTTAAAAATTAAAAAATTTAAGACACATTAAAAACTACGTGTATATATTCTATATTTTAGATAAATGTCATTCCCGAAATAGATGTAAGCTCAATGAAAAATTTGCAATTCAACATAGAATATACTCAATTTTTCATTTCTTTTTTCCTATGAAAAATATAATTACAATAATTTTTCTGTCGCATCGTAGATAATGAATTAACGCTGAATCTAATAGATTCTAACGCTTGAATGTGATAGACTCCTCTTCTTTTTTGATCGCTCGAATAAGTGTTAACGTCAATACAGCTATAATCACCTGCAATAATTAGAATAAGAAAGAGATAATTAGAAGAAGACGATAGATTATCATTCTATTTTCGTAGCAAAATTAAAAAATTGCGTATTCTTTCTTCTTGAAAAGAAGGATAAAGATATAAGAACTTACGTGAAGCATGCACAACCCCATTGCCAGACCAGCGAGCCATCCTGATCTCGCTTCCAGGAACCAGGATAGTTCCTCGACACAGCCGTGATGGAAAGCATTTCCAGTAACAGTGTCCCGACATTCGGTGGGCAACGGTTTACGCAACTGCGTGTAATCCCTGGGTCCGTCAGCTCCACAGCATCCGACCTATCAAACATTAATTTAAAAGATACATAATTATATGTGCTTTTATTTTCTCTTTCTGGAAAAAAAGATCAATTCAAAATTTAAAAAAAAATATATAATTTTTAAGATATTTTACACATCTTACAGTTTCCTGGATTATTCTTAGGATAAAGCTCGCTGTATCGTGTTGGGAGTTGTTGATAAGATTATACATGGACCGTTCGATGATGGGTTGAATCTTGCTGTCGTACGTCGAGTAGTCAAGAATTATTGCCGCCCCAGATAAACCGCAAATGAAACTAAATAGTTGAAGGCCCACGTGCTAAAATCACGAAAATCTCTAAGATAAATCGCCATACAAGATATTATAATAATAAAAATATAATTCTTTTTCAGTTTTGAAAATTTAATTTAGCGAGAAAAAAATTGATCCTCAAAAAATGATCTTAAAAAATTAATTTGCTGAATGTTAAAATTTAATAAAGAAAAGAAGCCAATTTGCATTAGACAATGTGTGTTTTGTCAATTAATATTTGAATTAAAAATTCGGTAAAGATTATTAAATTGCTTATATGTTTTCCATATTTTCAAAAAAAAAATTAGTAGAAATCTTCCTCCGTAGCTTTCGATGCCGACGTTTTATTTTTGATCTGTTCTTGATTATTGTACATATCTGCCACTTGTTGAGCAGAAGTGGCCTCTTCACAATTTTTATCCTCGCGTATCCTGATAAATCGCGGAAACCTTAAGGATATACCCTTTTCCGGATCAACCTGGATAAAGCAAAAAATTTAATATGTAACAATATTAGTTTTCTAATTCAAAGGATATTTAATAGCAAAAACAACTCATGATATTATTTCAATTTATTTTTGGAAGAAAAAGGACGTATTGTATGTTCCCGAAACTCTGCGATAACGCAAATTCTTCCATGTCAATAAAAGATTTTTTGAATTGCGAATGTCAAAATTAAAAGATTTCTATCATGCAATATTAATTTCGTTTTTTGATGCAATTGAGAGAATTTAAAACTCTGGAAACTCACTATTCCGATAGCTGCCCTATGAACTGGCGATAGGGAGAGATCGGCGCATTTAATCTCCCACACTTGTACTGGTTCAAACCAATGATCGGGCTCATGGCTGCTGTCGAAACGATAGTACGATTTCGTCTGGGGTATCACATGATCCTTCAAGAACTTTGTATGATTCTCAAGATCTTCCTCTTTGAAGCCTGTGCCGATCTATTTATGAGAAAGCAATTAATATACGAGCTAAAATAATACATCAAATGAGCGAAAAAGTATAATGCTCGCAATATAGGAGTTTAAATTACGAAAATTATCAAAATTGTATTTTGCGTGATTTGAAAAAGATACTTAAAAAATATTTCGATAAATATTAGAATTATCTAATACGAGAAAAATTTCCGTTAATTGCATGCTGCTTCTCTTCACTTTCATAACGTCGACGAAATATGTTATAGAAACGTACTTTACAAATGCTCTGGTACTCCTCGTTTTCTTGATCGTAACAAGCCAAGAGGAAGCCACCATAAGTGCCTGTTCTCTTTCCTTTGCCGATGTAACCACCGATTACAACCACATCTAGTGTATCACCCACGCCGTCCAAGTAATCTTTTTTCAGCTTCAACCAGTTTCTCGATCGCTTCGCGATCTCATAAGTTGCATCCTCCTCCAGCGTCTTCACCATTAAACCCTCACAGTTACCCTTCACAGATTCGTCCAAGAAGACTTGTACCTCCTCCATTGTTGTAGTGTCCATACTATTGGCAAATTTCCATTCGCCTTCTACCTCCTTAAAATGCTGCTTCAGCAACTCGCGACGCGTTGCAAAGGGTTTCTTTACCAACGGCTCGTCGTTTAGGTACAACAGATCAAACATAAATACGCATACCTGTACTTTGATGTCTTCCTCGTTGGCATCCTAAGAATAAGAACAAAATGTTATTTTAAAACGAGCAATTATAACAATTACATAAATTATAATCATAGTGACTATTAAATTATGACAATTACAATCGTAATAATTACATTTAAAACAACTATATTACCTTTCGCTTTCTCGTACTGAGTATTTGAAACGGAAGAATCTGTTTTTGCTCATTGTCCCAGGCGACCGCCTCGCAATCAAGTATGCAATTCTTCACCAAGTCACCTCGAGTATTCTTCAATCGTTTAATAATATCCGGGTACTTACTAGTATTGTTTTCCTGATTTCTACTGTAGATATTGACTTGGCCGTTATCCGCAACGTGTATCTGTTGTAATATTATAATCGACTTGAATCTTAAAATTATCGCCATTTTAGCTAATTGATTCTGGCATCTATTACATTTCTTTTCATGCAATACAGTATTATCTAGTATATCTTATAGTTTGCAAAGCTAAGTAAATAAGAACCTGTGCTCTCTCTCCATCATATTTCCACTCGCATGTGAATTTTAAACCCTCAAATCGTGTCAGGACTTCTTGAACACCCTTGGTAGGGTGCGCCAACATAGGTTTCAAAGGTATTCCAGGAGTGAGCTTGCACTTATTTGGCAAAGTATTGATTCCATCTTCCAGTAAAACGGGAATTATAAGATTATAGTTCGGACACTCACTATAAATAAATGTAAGTTATCTTAATTATCAAAAAATAAGAAATTGATATTTACATATTTAATATTTTATTTTCAAGCAAAAAAAAATATAATTTTATTTTGGATTAACTATACTTATTTTAATTGTTAATTCAATAACTTAATTATTGTATGTTTGTGTATGTGAAAATATCTTTTTGTCTTTCTCTCTCTCTTTTAATTAATAAATATTTTATTTTAAAAATAAATATGTTACGTATTTTTATTATATCTCTTCATTAATTCACTTTAATATTTAGAGTAATAATATTTTCGGAATAATTGCTCACCAATACGTTGTCTTTAGTATAAGTGCTATTTCGTCGTATTTCTCTTTAAAACGATCGCTCGACATTTTCTTGTTCGCGTTTAAGATTTCTGGTGGATAGTCCTGTTCTGGCGGTGTCATAGCACAAGCTAAAGCCAATGCCTAAGAAAATACAGATTAAAAATATCGATCATAGCAACGCACAATATCACCAATGACTTACTTGCAAAACAGATTGTTCGGCCAAACCGATGCGAAGCTTTCCGGCCAACGATCTAATAAGGTACCTTGCTTCCGTATTACGACATGCCACAAACAGCGTTTGAATCTTGTCTAATTTTTTCGTCAGGGACTGTATATATAAAAAAATTCAATTTTTATTTTGTACAAATACAAACAAAAAAATGTTTTTCTACATTTCTAATTTAGATGCTTCAATGTATTACATTCAGTTTTTATTTCAATCTAGATATAAACATCAATCTTTATTTTTCATTCAGTTTATTTAAAATGCAAATAAATTTAATTTTCAATTTTTAAATATGAAAATTGCTTATATGTTTTCCATATTTTCAGGAGTTGCATTATTAATAATTAAAATAATTTAAAAAATAATATTTTTGAAAATATAATTGGAATAATTTAAAATAATTAAAAACAAAACAAACAATTTTGAAAACTAGTTTTTTCAGAGATGATCTCTTTTCAGAATTGCCGGATTAAAGCGCGTAATAAACATTCTTACGATGTATAAAGCCAGTATGTTCTCCATAAGTGCAGCACCGCAGCCGATAAAGGCAACGGCCATGACGATCACCGAAGTTACAATCAGAACATAAATTCCGATGTAAAACTCGTACATGTCCAAAAATTCCACCCATTCCTCGAACATTGGCTCGAACCTCATCCATATCGACAACCCGAACATTGCACAACCCAGGATCTTTCAACAGAGACGCACAAGAATTTAATTAATAGAATGTATGAATTAACAATGAAGCGACAATAGTTCTCTCTTTTTCTTCGAGAAAACTTTTGTTTCTGTAATAGTACAATAACAAAGTAAAAACAATGTATCTTTTAAAACTTATTAAATTAATTATAAAATTATATCACAATTAAAGAGATAAAACAGTTTACAATAATAATATGTAATATATAAAAAAATATATTTCAGAACAAATTCTATATCAAAATTACATTTTATAACTACATACACACTTTTCTAAAACGCTTATTTTAATTTTCATATCTTATAAAATTTATTCAACCATTTTTTATATTTTTGCATGCACTTGTACAAAAAATTTACACATGTATGTCTTGAATTCAATTTTAATTATACCTGAATTTCTTTCTAATAATATAACAGAATATATTTTTATAATTCTCACTTTTTTATTATTAAGGAATAAAATTAAATTTAAACTTATTTTAATAATCAACTATTTTATCAAATAAATCAATTTTATTAACATTTTTTTTCTTAAGAAAAAGTAAAAATAGAGTAAAATTTAAACAAAAATCTTCTATTTTGAAAATTATCAAAACAAATGCATTTATTTATATATGCAATACTGCTCAGTCGTTCATCTTTTACATTCCGTTCTTTTCATATTTCATGTAAAAGATAGATCATTTCACTAGCACATTAACTTCACAAGACGATGCAATCATCGCGATAACTTCGCGCACCCACCCATATTATCGCGTTCAAGCAGAAAATCGTGAATTTGACGCAGCCAATCTGCTTCTCCAGCAGCGGTCCAGAGCTCTTGGCGACCATCTCCTTGTCTCCTCACGGAAGATATTCTCCGTCGCGAATTCAACTCTTATCGACAAATAAGACGCTGTTCCGGAAACGCGACGAGACAAAAAACGTAATTAGTCGATCGCGGACGTCGGAGTACCCCGAGTATCATCACCTAGCCGTTGCTTTATCAATGGCAAATATAAGATAACTGGATAAGAGCCATCCTAGATAAAGAATGCCACGCATTGCCGAGATGAATCACTTCTTCCGCGGTATCGTGATGAATGTGTAAATTATTAAAAACTGTAATTATTAATCAGCTAATGTGATGTTTACTTAATTTATTCAGCCTTTAATTATTTGTGGGTATTTTGATTGTTTATATAAAATTACAAAACTCTTTTAATTCAATAACATTTCAAAGTTACTGATATACAAAACATCACGCTTTCTCTATATATAATGTACATAATTTTTCAATATTTACCTTCGTATGCTGGTGCTAATTGATTAAGGCACAGATATACGCTTGGCAAAAGATCCATGGGGCTCAGGACTATGACAGATCGAAAGTAATTTGACAGTATTTCTATTATCTTCAACCTCGCGCTCGTTTCTTCGATAAGCTCCAAAGTGCGCGTAAAGGCGCTATATGGAGTTCTGTAAATAAATTTAAAAAAGAGAAAGGATTTTATATTTTCTGGAAGTTTTCTTCTGTTTCGATCATAGTTTCAACTCACTTGTCTTCTCGTTTCCAGCATGCATTGTTTATTGGATGATAATCAGATATGTTAGGATTGTAAGACTGGTTACTGCTTTTTGCGTTACTTGCTTTGTTATCCTTTGAATCATTCTTTTGCTTAGATGCTGTTTAACAATAAGATTTAAATAACTATTTAAATAATACTCCATTAAAATTACAAAACTCTTTTAATTCAATAACATTTCAAAGTTACTGATATACAAAACATCGCGTTAATATAAACGAGAATCTAAAAAAAAAAACATTAAGTAATAAAATTAAGTAATAAAAAAATTATAGTCTCCCAATATATTTTTATTAAAAATATATCAGATGCGACAAGAATGGAATATCACATAGTAATTTTGATGCCATATCATACGATGATGCATATGTTTTATTTACAGTAGTCCTTACAAAATCATAATTATAAAAAATAGAAGACATCTAGAGACAGACTATTAGCACCAGTGAATTGTATACATACTGGAATGAGCGATCCCTTTGTTTGGCTTATTACCTGATCAGGTAATACTACAAAGAGATGCCAGACATCCGTAGGCACCTCTCTCGGCAAAATAGCGGCGACAGCCAAACAAAGGGATCGCACATTCCACAATTCACTGATTAGCACTTATAACGAAACACGTACCTCTCCGAATAATCCTCGCTCGAGTTCTCCCTCTTGGACGATATCTTCGTGAAGAAAGAGCTGTAACGATAAAGCAATACGACGTTACTCGAAAGATCACGTGTCGAAAAAGAATTGTCAAATTATATGTCAATTAATGAAATTATAAGTTTTATGTTACCGACCGAATTACGTTATATCATTGGATTTATTAATAATTGAAATACTTTGTTAGATTCTTTTCCAAATAATTGTTTTGCTAATTTACTCACTCTATACGACGTTGCGCCATTATAATCGCGCCGTTTCTACGCGCTATGCGCATTTGACAGCATTTCCCGCCTTTATTACGGAACAGAGTGGCGTCACTTCTCGTACAATCATAGATTGAATAATACGTAGAAGTTTAATCATCTCTAAAAAAAATGGTACTTTGCATCATAGAATTGTAAATGAATGTAGAAAGGAAAACACACGAATAAATATGTATATTATATGTATTGTTGTTATATGTAATGACATATGTATTATTATTTATACTCGTAGATTATATACATTGCAAAGAATATCATTTTTCTGTCAAATTTCATTTCAAATAGATCAATCAGATTTACTAGCTTTGAGCTTTCATAAAAAGAAAATGGCAAATCCTCTTTTTAGGTGGAAAACATAAAATTAATTAGGGAATTATACTTTAATTCGACTGTGTGTAATTATCAATTATTTATTTATTTTACAAATAATAATTGCAAACTGGATCATGTCGGTGAGAGCACGATTAGCCTCAATCTCACCGGCGTTCGAAAGGCATGCCGCAATTCCTGCTCTGCCATAACAGCAACTTGTTTTATTCTATTGCCTATTAATTTATTTGCAGTCCTGCGAATTAAAAGTCTAGCGATATTTTTTTTGGAACATGTGACAGTCACTACTGCCATAACGTTATCGTCAGCTCCTGTATCAAAGTGTTCCAATGTCACTTTCAAGTTATATGGAACCTCATTCGGTAGAATATCCATCAGTTTCGCCCGTACCGTCTGCTGTATTATATCTTCACACTTGTGATTGGTGTATATGTGTCCTTCATATTGCCAATCTCGCGATTTAGCCGAATCCAGCAAGTAAGTCTGCAAAACACAGTGTGATTTATATATTATAGAGATCTTAAATCATTAAAAAATTGTTCATTACCAAAAAATAATTGTTTATGTTACATTATATGCATCTAATTATTCACACTTGCAAGCTTATTTACCCTCAAATCATCGATGCCATCTCCGGTTAAAGCAGATATCATAAATATATCAGAGAACTTCAAAGATTTCGTGTTCTTGAGCATAATGTTTACAAGTTGCAGAAGCACCTCTTTCTTTTTCAATTTATCCACCTTATTTAATATTAAAATCATGGGAATCTTATTTATTATATCCTCAGTCAATAGTTCCAATATATTCGAATTGATCCTGTCTCTAGTATATACATTATGTGCATCTTGTACAATCCCCACAATATCTGCTGCTGCCAAGGAGACTTTTGGATCTTTTCTAAAGGTATCAGCTAACTTGTATTGTTTTAATTCTTTTGTGGAAACCATACCGGGTGTATCCATAAATATCAATTGAGTATCATCTTCACAATAAATTGCATCTGCTTTGGTTTGCGTCGTATGCACCTTCGAAGATGTAGGACATACCTAAAAAACAAATATATATATAGATATATGATATAAAAAAAACAAATTTAAACAATAAATATGATAGAGAAAATAAAATAGATGAATAAATATAAGATAAAAAATAGAAACAGTATACATTCTACAATAAATTTTGGCAAAATAATCATTAAATTTTCTTTATATGTGAATAAAAAAAAAAAAAAAGATAAAAATAATTTAATATTTATTTACCGATCTCTTAATAAGTTGATTAACGAGCGTGCTTTTTCCAGCATTCGGTGCACCCAGGATGGCGATCTTCAGACATTTCCGACGTACTGATGCAAAATTATCATGGGGTTGCAATATAAGTTCTTGCGAGTCATTTGTCAAAGTAGCGACGCTTTTTGAAAAACATCGTCGTAAATATCGCGAACCCGCGCGAATCATATAACTCTCGATCGTAAATAACATTTCATTGAAGAAGTTCTCGAGACAATTTTACGAAAAACTTCTCAAACTAACCTAACTTTATCATCTATATACTCGTCATTCACACAAAAATAATTAGTGGCAACGTAAGGTATTAGGTTTGTTCGTTTTTTTATTTTATTTTATCTTTTTTTTTTTTAATTGTAATTTATAAAAATGTTTATACTTGAGAAACGAAATGAATATATATTCGAGTGTTAGAGAAGATGAGCAAGGAACTTGAGTGCAAAAGATGTGAGCGATATGAACAGAAACGAGTATCGAAAAGGGACGAATCTGATTGGTTGCGCCATGTTGTTGTCATTTTTATTCCCGCGATACAACCGTCAAAATCGACGTCTTAATTTAGATTAAAAATTATTTTCCTAAAGTAAAATTTTTTTTTATTTTATATTTCTGATCCGCAAAAGTTTTCCTAACTGAAATTCATATTACTAATAATATAAATTCTAATTATAGCAGTTGTGTGGATTACCGCGTGGCCCGTCATCTGGGCAATCTCCTTTAATTTGGAGTATACAATAGGAACTGTCAACGGTGCCGGTTGAAACATAGTTCTCTGGTTGGATCTGCTACCTTCTGCTACAATTCCCAAATCGCCAACCTCCTGGACATCGGCTTTAATTTGCGCCAACGTCCTACCAGTGCATTGTGCTATCGCTTTCATCAGGTTCGTATCAGCAACGCCAAGCTCAATTCCTAAGATAAAATAAACACTGCATAAGCAATTTCTAATCAAATAATAAAATTTAAATAATTTTATTTCTTTATACAAGTTAAAATATTGCTTTCTCTATATATAATGTACATAATTTTTCAATATTTACCTTCGTATGCTGGTGCTAATTGATTAAGGCACAGATATACGCTTGGCAAAAGATCCATGGGGCTCAGGACTATGACAGATCGAAAGTAATTTGACAGTATTTCTATTATCTTCAACCTCGCGCTCGTTTCTTCGATAAGCTCCAAAGTGCGCGTAAAGGCGCTATATGGAGTTCTGTAAATAAATTTAAAAAAGAGAAAGGATTTTATATTTTCTGGAAGTTTTCTTCTGTTTCGATCATAGTTTCAACTCACTTGTCTTCTCGTTTCCAGCATGCATTGTTTATTGGATGATAATCAGATATGTTAGGATTGTAAGACTGGTTACTGCTTTTTGCGTTACTTGCTTTGTTATCCTTTGCATCATTCTTTTGCTTAGATGCTGTTTAACAATAAGATTTAAATAACTATTTAAATAATACTCCATTAAAGCTTATAAAATTATTATTGATTATTATTATTATTATTATTTAAAAATACACTCTGGTTTAAATTTTAATTAATAATCTAAAAATACTTAAATTTTTAATGCTTACTGAAAAAATTATGCGTTTTCTTAGAAGTAGTCTTTGACTTCTTTTCTGGTGTAGGCTCCTTCTTCAGGATTTCGGTCTTCTCCTTGATATCCAAAATATTTTGATTTGTTTCGTCATCTGATGCATTCTTTTTCATTTCACTACATTCGTCTGTGCTTTCAATCTTCTTTTCTTCGCCATTAGTCTCTAATTTTTTTGGACTTTCAGGTAACTATAAATAATTATTTGCAAATATAAACAAAAATTTACAAACATATAAATTTAATCCAAAATATAAATTCTTTTGCAAGAGAATTATCAATTTCAGAATGATCCAAATTTACCGGTAGATGATCCTCATCGTCACTGGAATCTACTAGTTCGATTATTCTGGCTCGTTTCTTTTTCACAATATTCTTTGTTTTTTTTGCCTCATCAGAGCCAAATTTTTTTTCTGGAGGGATGGATTCTTCTTTTTCCTCTTCACTTTCAACTGTATCATTTTCTACTTGAGCATTTTTCACTATCTCAGCTCCATTAACATTTTTAGGTTCATCTTTCTCCTCCTTTTTTGGAGTGTTTGTCAGTTTCCTCTTTTTATTTGGTGCTCCAGGTGAAAGTTTATTCGACTTACTTTTTGGAGTAGTTCCTAAAAAGTTATAAAAATATATAACACATTCAATATACAATAGTTCAGCAGTATAATTACCTAGCTTTGCACGAGGCTTTGCACCTGGAGAAGGAGTCTTTGAAATTGCCTTTGGCTTTGTAAGTTTGTTGTCTGTCTTCTTGGAAGAGGGAGAACTATAAAAATAACAATTTAGAAAAATAATATAAATGGGAAAGAGAACAGAAAAAGATAAAATAAATAATTCTCTTGATTACCTAGCAAATCTATTGCTGTCATCTCTCTTCCGTTTGCCGCTTCCTGATGCATCCTGATTCTTTTCCTTGTCGGACAAGTTGCTGTTGGTTGCATGTATCCAATTAAAAACGACAACAAATCGACTATGAGCCATGCTCGCGAGCTCGAAATGTCGAACCGGTAAAGCCAGCGAGCTTAAGCGCGAGCAAGTGGCGAGGATTTTTAGCATAATCAATTTATCTAGAGACAGACTATTAGCACCAGTGAATTGTATACATACTGGAATGAGCCATCCCTTTGTTTGGCTTATTACCTTTTTTTATTTTATTTTATCTTTTTTTTTTTTTAATTGTAATTTATAAAAATGTTTATACTTGAGAAACGAAATGAATATATATTCGAGTGTTAGAGAAGATGAGCAAGGAACTTGAGTGCAAAAGATGTGAGCGATATGAACAGAAACGAGTATCGAAAAGGGACGAATCTGATTGGTTGCGCCATGTTGTTGTCATTTTTATTCCCGCGATACAACCGTCAAAATCGACGTCTCGCGTGCCGCGCCGTCGCCGGCAAACGGAGCGGCTCTTGTCAACTGTCGCGCGAGAAATAGATGTCTGTTATCTGTTATTGACGCGCGTCATCACCGTGGCACACTCGTTCTGGCCTCCCGTGCTCCTCCAATTTCAAAACTATACGAGAAAGAGTGGTATCGCGCTCCCGAAAAGATCGGATATGAAGAGAGAGAGGAACGACACGAAGATGTGCGTTTTTGACAGGACGAAAGGAAAAGCGTGAGAGCGTAGGAAGATATATATGCAGAGAAATCACGGACCTCTTGTATTCGTTGCGTTTCCGATGTCGAATGGATAAAATCGAAGAGTTCGATCTACGAACATGTTTGATTCCTCCCGTGACACGTTGGAGAGGGAACGTTGAATGAGGAATGAGACGCAAGTGAGTATCGAGGACGCTTTTTCCTTCCAGCTCCTCGAGGAAACAGCGAGCATATCCTTCTCGCGTCTCTTTTATTTTGATCTTTATATATTTTGTATTAATAGGAATTTTCCACCCTTTTTTTCTCTTTCTTCAGTCAAAATCTCCGAATGTATCTTTACTTTAAATGCAGAAAGTTTAGCTGGAAAGAATGAATCTGTCAGGTCTATTCTCCTTTTACTTTCTCTTTGCACTTTCTATATTTTCCTCTTATAATTACGTTTCTTTTTCTTTTATTCTCTCGCAGAAAAGGCTGAATATGTGTCCGCATTTGTCTTTTTCGATAGCACGTTTAAATATGCAATCATATTTTAAATATAGAAGACGTAATTGTAGAGAAATTTGTTTTTCTACATCTTTTTATTGTATTTTATTTTTCTCTTAAGAGATATTCTTTCCAAAAGAATATGCACATGTAATATTGAATTTCATCAAACGAAAATTTGAAATAAATATAATACTTGTAATGATAACTTAAATATGGTAATATACGTTGCAATTTTTTTTTTTTTGGGTGTATCAAATAAACATGTATATAATATGCATATTTTTCAAGTTATTGACTCCATTTTCTATTTTTTGTTATATAGTATTCGGAGATTTTGCTTCCAAATATAAAACAAAACACCAGTTACTCTATAACTTTATTTAACTAATGGTGTTGTTTTCAGAGATCATCAAGCTTGACCATCTTAGGATAGAAAATGGATCTAATGAGCGTCACTGATGACGATAACGCTCGTGAAAGACGATGAGCAGTATATATCAAAGGTCGATACGACGCATCTACTTAGGATACATGTGTAACAAAGCCTTGAGCCAACCCCGAAGAACAGGAAACTGTATTGAAAAAGATGCTCGAAAAGGATCCTGCATAAATCGCGCGTCGGCGCGTAAGCATCACTGGGTAAGAAATTATATGAAGAATTTAGATCTTAAAATTCTATTATAGTTTGTAGACATCTGTGCAGATATTGCAGATAGAAAAGAAACGCCTTGGTGGAGGAGTTGCATAGATGTCATAATATCGTGTAAGGATAAATTGCTCTTTATATTTGACCAAGGATTTTTTTAGGAAGGTTAATAGAGAATTCGCAGATTAAACCCATGCATAAAACAATGCAATTAATTCTAACAAATTCTACTATACCAAGTTTCAACAAACATACAAATCTTGGAGAGTCTCGTCAAATGTGAATCCCATTCCTCTTTCTCTGCCAGAAATTTTGAATAGTGCGCGCTATTAATCAAATCATCTCTGTCAAGCCGTTCTTTTTCTTCCGCTACATCTACAAAAGCTATGAAATAGCTGTATATTGTGACTATATATGATCGAATACGTTGTTATCAGGCAACGATGAATCTCTGAGCTCGCTGCACAGCGATACCCTGATGCACTTCTGGATCAACAAACCGGCGGGCAGGTACTACGGCTTCACCGGCCGCCGATACCCTGCCACACCTGTTCCCAAAACACGCAGTAAGTATATAGTTAGAGTATAAAATCAATATAAATAACAATATAAATTCTTACTTGTGTGTATTACAAACTTTATTTTAATTACGTTACACATTGCAATAGATTTTTATCACTATCACATAGCATTCGGAATGATTTAGAAATCATGTTTCGAGATAATTCTATTTATATCTAGAGCGAACTAAATAAAGACAGGTTTGAATGAATAAACGAATTGACAGGAAAAACTTAAGAAAAATTTCAGAAAATGTTGCATATATAT